AAGTGAATGAGGCCTCTTCAGTTTTCCTCTGCATTTGTGAATTTCCTTTGCAGGAAAAGGAGTATTGATGTGAAAACTGTGTTTAAGTAATATGTGTCTTTTTGTTAGATGTTTAGAATCCTGACAAGGAGAAAGGACAGGGGTTTTTCTATTCAAGAGGAAGAGGAAATAGGGGAAAAGTGAATTGCATGAGCCAAGCAATGTATAGGAAACAAGTGACATCCTCTTAAAGCCTAGGATTTGCATTTGTTGTGAGGTATAGGCGTGACTTTATTTTTTTTAGCACTATCACTTTATCTATGTAAAGTGTACGAAATCCACAGAAAGATAAAAAGGATTCATGCTCAGTAGCATTTCCAGGAGTAACTGCTTCAAGAATTAATACCTTGTTTTGTGCTGTAATGCAGTTAGCTTTTGTATCATGGCTTGCTGCTATTTTAAAATGACCATGGCAGTTCTTTCACTGTGCTTCAGAAAGACATTGCCAACCACTGGTAGCTTCTTGCATGCCTGACTTAAATGGAAGCATCCTGCATGTAGGACCTTTCTTAGCCTCAGATTTTCCAGGGCTGAAGCCCTTATCTCCCTCAGTGGTTGTAGGAACGTGAGTCCCAACACTGACTGTTCAGTGTCTGCATCCTGAAGTCATAAGGTCTGTGAGTTAAACCTCAGTCTTTATGGAGTAAATGTCCTGAAACTGCAAAAATAACAGTGTGAGGATGCTTTTTGCATAGTAGATGTAGCAGGATAGTTTTGCAGACCATCAGCACACAAGCTTTCTAGTGTGTAATGTGTTTTCTTGACTTAAAAGCGACATCCAGCCTAGCAGTTCTTGTTTATAACAATGAGGAAAAAATTGTGCTTAGTTTAGTTTGGCTCAAGCAGAGGTATGAAAAAGGAAGAGGAGAAACATCTGCAACTGTTACAGCATGTTTGAATTTAAATAAAACCAGATAAGAGCAGGGAACAGGCAGCCTTCTTCTTTAAATAAAAGAAAAAAACTCGCAAAGAATCAATAAACCAAATGTTAAGGGGCAAGTGTGTGATTTTTTTAAGGTACATTATTTTTGTAAGAGAACACTGAAAGGAATGAAAATAGGCATTTCAGATGAGTTGTAGAAATTATTGTGCTGAGGGTTTTTTTCCCCTCTTTGAGTAAGACTCTGCCAAGCTGCTAGGAAAGTCAGGAGCTGTAGTATATGGCTCTCAGGAGGTTAATTAGTGTATGCTGCGCAGACAGGGGTGCAGAGCCGGGTGCCCGCGCTCAGAGCCGCTGCTGTGGCGGTGCCGGCTGTGTGAGGGAGGCTATGGGCGCTGCCCGGGAGCCGAGTTGAAAAGGCCGAGGCTCCGCCCGTGCCCTTTCCCCCAGTTCGCGGAGCACGTGGCTCCGCAGGAATGCCGAGGGAAGCGCTCCGGCTCGGCATTAAGCCGGCCGGCAAGGAGCAAAACAAGGGCTCCGAGCGGCGGCTCCGGGAAGCCTTTGGTGTTCCGCCATCGTAATGCAGGGCAGTGTTAAAGGCTTATGGTTTTTAAAGGAAACGAAGGGAATATGAAAAGGAACAAGCTGCTTTGTTGTTTCACATCTTAACGTCAAGCAGTACAGTTCTAGAACTGGACTGTATTTGTTTTCAGGGCTCGTTTACTTTATTCAGGATTAATTCTTGGTGGATTAATTATTTTTTTTCATTTGGGAATAAGGAATATTTTCCTTAATGAGGCTTATTTATTTTTATGAGAATGTTAAATTTTGATTCATTAAAATGTCAGGTTGGCTGTTAATGCTTGACGCTATTTAGAATCTTTTTCTGCCTTGGGCAGTAAAAAGAGCATGTGCTTGAAAACGAAGGGGTTCCTGAAATTCTTTCCATTCAGAAACAAAGAGGAGGTTAATTAAAAATTTCTAGGCTGAGAAGTCACAGTGGAGTTGAAGGGTAAGGGAAACTAGCTGATCTTGTACTTAAGACACTGGCATTCCAAAATACAAAATTCTGTGAGTGAACTGAGCAGAACATGTTGGCCCTTCTTGAGACAAGTCCAGGTGCCTGATTCCTGTATGCAAAAACGGTTGAGTTCTTTGTATGTGTTTGTTGGGGTTTTATCATCCCACTCTTAATAGTGCCACTAAACATATGAGATATTCTTGACTTTGAAAGCTTTTGCAAACCCTGTTGAATTCAGGTTATACCCTGTATTACTGCTGCCTCTCCCTGCTTTATTGCTCTCTTGTCAGCTGGTAATGACCAATTTGAATGAATGAATGGACAGCTGACTTTGACTTCCTCATACTTGCCTGCAGCAGAGCCCATATAAGTAGTTGTTAGTGACAGTCATTAAGTACTACAAATTGCAGTTGTTACTCGGGCACACAGGGCTTGTGTTAAAGCTTTTGAAACTGGTGTTCAAAGAACTTTGTGTTCTTCTAATTTGTTCTTCTTTGTTATTCTAATCAGACACTACACACACATAAATCAATTGCATACTATCTCTAGGATACTGTGAGCCTTAGGTGCCTTGATTCACCCAGCTTCCAAAACCTGAGCAGTGGCTGATGGATTTGTGAGATCTGTGGATTACCATTAGGCACTGTAGCAGTAGCTGTATTGCAGGGGTGGATCACTGTAGGCTGGTCCAGGAACAGACACATTAAATACTGCAAAGAATCCATGCCTGTTGGTCAGCAACTTAACAGATTATGTGCATCAGCACTTACCTCATTCATCTCTGCCGAGTATTCCTTCTCTTTCTATATTTCTATTTTTTCCTAAGCCTACTGTTATTGCTGCATTCCAAGTGCCTGGTTTTCTGCTCATACACGTTGGCACCCATTCTTTGTGTTTCAGGTGACTTTGGTTATGTAGAATATTAACAGAGTAGAGGAGCAGCACTCTGGTCATAATGAACTGCTTTTGAAGTGCCCATTTAAATTGCACTGGTTAGTCCTCACTCAACAGGCATGAGAGTCTACCAGAATTTAATTACTAGCTTTAGATTGGCAAACAAAATGTGAATTCTAGCTTTTAGGATTTAAAAAGGGTGAAGTAGTTGTACTTTCTTTGATTTTGCTTACATAGAAATGCCAGTGCAACCTTAAAACACTTAGTATTGATAATGTTTTTTGTACTAATCTCAATCTAAAACTTGCCCTTGAATCCCGACCTACAGATAGGGCAATAAATTCCACTACTATTTAGTCATACTTCTAGGAGGATATTGGTTTTGGGGCTGTGCATGACAATTTTGGTAAGCTAATAAATTAAGTTGAACAAGAGACTGACTTTGGAAGCATGATGGTTTCCTCAGGAATACATAGTTCTGACCATTTCAATGTTATACATAGAGTCTGTCTGCAGAAATGTACTTTCTAATTGTAAGTGCTCAAAAACATTAGTCTGAATCAAAATTAGTAGGAGTAACTTCCAGGGTGTTTATGTATAAATGCTAGTTACAGGAACTAAGAAAAGCTGTGGAGTTACTCACAAGTTTAACAAGGACGAGTGCCAGATTCTGCATTTGTGTTGGGGCAACCCTGGTTGTGTGTATAGATTAGGAAATGAGAGACTGTAGAGCAGTGCCATGGAAAGGGCCCTGGGGGTCCTGTTTATGGGAAGCTGGATCTGAGCCAGCAGGGCCCTGGCAGCCAGGAGGGCCAGCCCTGTCCTGGGGACATCAGGGACAGCATCACCAGCCAGAAAAGGGAGGGGATTGTCCTGCTCTGCACTGAGGCAGCCTCACCCCAGTGCTGGGGGCAGTTTTGGGAGCCACAAGGTGATAAAATAAATAAAGCTCTTAGAAAGAGTCCAGAGGAGAGCTGTGAGGATGGTGAAGGGTCTAGAGGGGAGAGAGGGTACAAGGAGCAGGTGAGATCAGCTGCTCTGCTGAGTCTGAAGAAGAGGGGACTGAGGGACATCCTCATTGCAGTTACCACTTCCTTGTGAGGGAAAGAGGAGATGCAGGTACAAGTCTCTTCTCTCTGGTGACCAACCAGTGATAGAACCCGAGGGAATGACCTGGAGCTCTCTTGAGGAAGTTTAGGTTAGATATTTGGAAAAGGTTTTTCACCCAGAGGGTGGTTGAGCGCTGGAAGAGGGTCCCAAAGGAAGTGTTTGCAGCCCCAGACCTGACAGAATTAAAGAGGTGTTTGCAGAACACTCTCAGGCACATGGTGGGATTCTTGGACTACATTGGGTTTGCATTTCTGTTTTAACTTCCAGCGGTTTTGGTTTGAGCCTTTTGTGGCTGCTCAGTATAATTGTCTTCTGTCTATATTGGCGTGGTTGTTGAGATTTGTTTGGACAGTTAAGCTGAGCTGCAATTCCGTGAAATTTCAGCATAGTTTCAGATTTCTTTGGGGAGGTAATTTTTCTGACAGTTGTGATTTGGTTTCCTCTACTCTGCATAGTTTTGATTTTTGTAGTTATTTGCCAGCCACAGCACAGAGCCACACGGACTATAGTCTCTTATTGCTTTGAGTAATCATCTTGAAATTAGGGTATGAAAAAGATTTTGGGAGAAGATATGGCCAGAAGCAGCTTTGTTTTTCTAGCTGAGGTGAAAACTTTAGATGCCTTGTGTTTCAAATAAAAAATTTTCTGAATATTCTTTGAAATGTAAGATACTCTGTACCTGTGATATGCTTTTTCGAAATGTTTTGGCTTTCACTTTCTGTTCCACTCTGATTTTTTTTTTGTATTGCATGTATAGGTGATACACAGCTGTTGTGATGCAAAATCAAAATGCCTGAGTTACACAAATGTTTTCTTTCCATTTGCAGCTGTTTTGGTTAAAAGAGGTGCCTTAAATTAACCTTCAGGACACTCAGACTGAAGTGCAAGCAGAGCCTGTAAGGAAAAGGCAAGTAGTATATATAAATTTTTCATACTTGGAAATCTTTGCCAAAATCATGGCCAAGATTTGCCATATCTTGCTAGAGATGGACTAGGTCCTAGCTCCTCTGAACAAGAGGGAGATGCTCTTTCTAAACTTTGTTTTTTGACAGATCTGTCTCTGAAAATGGCGGAAGCTCATCAGGCAGTAGCTTTTCAGTTTACGGTAACTCCAGATGGGATTGACCTGCGTATGAGCCATGAGGCACTCAAACAGATTTACCTGTCTGGTGTCTATTCATGGAAGAAGAAGTTCATCAGATTCAAGGTATGCTAAACTAGTCCAGTCCACCAAACTTCTGGGTTATTTAATGTTTTACGAATTTATTGAAGTTTTTTTTGTGGAAAACTGATTTTTCCCCTTTATGGTAAATAAGGTTCCTCATTGCGAAAGACTTAGGGGGTTTTATTTAAGACAGGAGGTGCTGAGAAAGTTGCCACAGCATGGTACTGTAAAGACTGAAAGGGTACATATTTTTTATTTATTCTGTGGGAGCAAGATGAAGCAGATGTAGAAATTAACTGACTTCATTCTCTTCCTTCACCACATGATAATGTAATCTTTTAGCAGAAGTCCAAAGTTCTACTAGTTGTGATCTTTAGTGTCATATGTCATAGAGGTACAAGGTACACTCTTTATTATAGCTAAGTAGTATTGTTTCTGTTGAGGTATTTGATAAAGATTGTTTTGTTCATGGGATTATAATTGTAAATATCTGTTTCATTAGTAGCAATCTACATAAACTACAGGTTATCTTCAACATGTCTTTCAAAAACATAAACATATTAACAGAAATCTTATTAAAATTTTCTTATATAGCCATGAGAAGAACTGTTTAAATTGCATTAAAAAAGTTAATTCTGATTCTCAGTGTCTTGTTCAGTAGGATATTTTTGCCATGTATTCATGTAGAAGGTTCTAACTCAGTGTAAACTGAAATTATTGAAGTGTCGTTTGTTTTAGAGTTGTTAGTTAGTTTCACTATTTTTAGTAAGACTTGCAGCAGGATTAGTGGTATCTGCAATAGAATGTAAAAGTTCCTTTTATTGTTGATATCATCTTTACAATTTCAAATTTAAGTAAATCCATTCCCTACTGCTGAGATAATCTTATGTGAGAAAATGTTGGATAATCTTAACTACTTGTTTATAACTAAATTACTTAAATGTGTTGATTTTTGTTTCTTTCCATGGTAATATGAAGTCAGTCACTTTGGTATGAAAAAATTATGTGAAGGCTTTTCTTTCCAGAATGGAATTATCACCGGTGTTTACCCTGCTAGCCCATCTAGCTGGCTTATTGTAGTTGTGGGTGTGATGTCAACCATGTATGCTAAAATTGATCCTTCCTTAGGGATAATAGCCAAGATCAACAGAACACTTGATACAACGTAAGTAGACTAAAATGTTAATGTTTCTCTAAAGGGAAATCAGTTTTATTTGCAGCTGCTCTTAAAGCTATTCCTGTTAAAATGTATCAGTTTTGGAACAGTACATTTGTGACACCACAAGCCAAATAAGCAGATGTATGAGGATATGAAATAGGGAGGTTGTACCAGTATTGCTGCATAGTTCTGGGTATTTGGGAGGCACATTTGGGAACTTTTGTGGCCTTTGATGTTGCTGCCTGAAAAGGTCTTTGGAAAGGAATTTATGAAAGCAGGGTAAGCAGGCATAAAGCTTGTGTAAGGCCTGTCTGTGCTACTATTAGACTTATGTTAGCAATACCAGCTTCTCTTTGGAACTTAAATGGACTCTAACTGGCATATGCTGGCTTTTGTTTTAAATAGTGGCTATATGTCAAACCAAACACAGAACATTGTGAGTGGAGTACTTTTTGGCACAGGGCTTTGGGTTGCCCTTATTGTCACAATGCGCTACTCCCTGAAAATGCTGCTCTCCTACCATGGCTGGATGTTCTCTGAGCATGGCAAGCTTAGTGCTGGCACCAAGTTTTGGATGGTAAGGATATGTTGGTTTCATTTCATCTTAACTTCTAACTGATCAGTATTCAAAGCCTCAAGGGAAAATTTTGTAGTTTTATTTCTTTCTTGTGTTTTTTGAGTCATAGGACAGGAGGCTGTTAGGCAGCTATTTCTGCTGTTACCCTTCTAATGCTGTAATGAAACTCTTCATCGTGGCCTTTTAGAAGGAAGAAATTGTCCAATGCCTTGGGCCTGTGTGACTCAATACCTGCTTTTTCTCTATGTGCATGTGCAGTTAAAGGTCTTTGGCTACAGCACCAAAGAATCTTGTCCTCACAGAAAGGGCTCCCCTAATTCTTTGTTGTAATGTTAGGGTTTCTAGTCATCCATTATAAAATTATTCTTCTGCTTGAAGAAAATATTGCTGAGTGTCCTCTCAACTGATTTATTGGCATGTCTCCAAAATGAGTTGGGGAAGAAGCATAAGGTGTAGGTAGCGTGTTATGCAGTTTTCAGATAAAGATAAGGTGAGAGTGGTATGTCCCCTGTGGATTGATTGTTGTGGTGCTTTGGAAAAGGATTCTTAAAGGATATGATAGGTATAAAGTGAGGAAATTTAGATGTTGGTGCTGCAAGAGATGAAGTGAGGTTTTGCTGCTTGGACTCAGTTCTTCCATCTCGCTTTTCCCTGCATTGTGGTAGGAATAGCTCAGTTTCTGTACTGTGATAAAATAATCTCTGCAATAAAATTAGTCTCTGCAGCGTCAAAAATTAACAGATGTGTGTTAAACTAAGCACAGCTCATTATTTACTATGGGAGCTATTCAAGGATAGGTATCCAGAATGGTGTACACAAAAATAGAGTTTGATGTTTGTCTGGTACAAGTGAAATTTCTAATTGATGGTTTCTCCTGGAAGCAGTAGCAGCCTCATGACCCAAATTGGTACAATCCAGAGGCTCTCAATGGTAAGGCTTTCTGTCAATTGCTTGGAGCTGTAGCTGCCTTGGTTTTCAGCATGTCCTACCAGATAGATTCTTCAAAGCTCTTAATATTGCCTTATCAACCTTAAAACAGTATGGACTGTAATGCTACTTACCGTGCTTTGGTGCATATTGTATTTATCAATTTTTGTCTACCATATATGTTGCATATGTATTTTATTGTGTTTTGTATGTGTTTAAAAGTACACTGAAGATGTATGCCCAAGAGTGTCTCATCTACTACTATAAAAGGCTATTTAACTAGACCCAGCAAAACCAGTGAAACAGCCCCAACTATCCTAACTTTCTAGATTTTTACAAAACTGTTTTCTCTTCAAATGATCATGCAGATCAAAAACCTGAACTCTAATTTCAGTCACAGTACAAAGTGATTTTTCAGACTGGTTGGAAGTCTGGTGGCACTTTTAATCAGCGTATTTCACCTCGTAAAATCAAATTTCCTGTATCAGTCTTAGGGGAAAATCCAAATATTAGTTGCCATTTAAAAAAATAAGTTAAAAAAGTGGTAATTGTATGTGAAGAGATGCAGCATATGTTAGAGTGACATTGTTTGCTGTGTCTGCATATGAAGTCAGTGATGTAATGAAATGTGTGTGTCTGTCAGAGCACTTTATTGGTCTCAAGCTATTATAATTTCTCTATTACAAGTTTTCTTTAGAGATAAGTACTGTGAAACGTGTTTGCTGGTTTTTGTCAGTTGTGCAGGTGCTCTCTTAAAATAATTTTAGCCTTTTCTGGCTTAAGAGTTTTGGAAGAAAATTGTCTGCAAGTATGAAATTAGATTTCCAGATGAAAGGCTGAGCTTTCTCTTTCCCACCTGTTTCCAAAATTATCTTGTCCTGAAGCACAACTGGATTTCATTGGCAACCCACTATGGTGCATCCCATGTACGTCTGATGGCTGTGATACAGATCTATTTGCAGGGAGGTCTTTGTGGCTGGTAATACTCTACAATTGTTAGTTGTTTTGTGCTGCCTAAACCTATCTCCTCTAGCTGTGCTGACCCAGGAAGCTGAGAGGGAGGAAAAGTTCCACATTCCAACAGTTTTGTTGGGAGACATTTTCAGAATTTAGTAGTGAAATGGCATCCTGTGTTTTATTCTATCTTGTCTGTTGGCTTATATATATTATCCTGTGTATTGGACCAAGATTACACTTTGACAGTAAAAGTTCCACTGGGTTGTTTGAAAATCCAGTCACTCCACTTGACTTTCATGCTTACATAGGGTGGCAGTGTCAAAATCCTTCCATGAGTAGCCAAGAAGTTGCATGGCCTAGAATTTTGGCTTAGTGTGTGCTGCAACTGAAAAGTAGTTTTTATTCTCCTGTGGAGCACAGGAGATTCTGCAATATCTGAAGCTAAGTTCTCTCTGGCTTTTTTGTTTCATTGCTGGGGGGTTTTTTGGTAACACAAGCGCTGGGTGTAACACTGGCATGCTTGCACAATTTGCTATATTCAAATCATGCAGTAGACTACTTGTGATTGATTCATGCTTGAATTAACTCCCTGTAACATCAGTCCTATTACTGATGTTGAGCTGTAACTTTGGAAAATATTAAGCCATGATAAAAAAGCATAATTATTATTTTTAAAGGTTACTGTAGTTATCTAGAAACCTTAGCTGAGTCACAGGCTTGATAATGATTGTGTTTTGAAGCACAATTTACATATGTTTCTAGTATCTACTGTGTAATATAGTAAAAGGTCACGTGGTAGAAGTGAGTTTTTTAATCTTTCCAGAGGGGAATATATGAAGAAAAGAAGTGCTAAGTAATTGTATTTATATTGAGATCAAGGTGTGCCCTACATAAACAGCAATATTGTCTGTGACAGGATGATAACTGGAAAGTCAGGAATGACCATGCCTATCTTGCTCTTCCACTGCCATGTTGTTAAACTTTAGGAAGTTAGTTTCTGTCGAGGCCATTTTTTTCATGTGAAATTCTGATAAATGGAGTAGCTTCCTAAATCTAGTACAGTATAATTTACCAGTGAAAATGACTGTGAGTTACATTACACATTTAGTCTGCTGTTGTTCTTCTGTTGAACCTAATAATTTGGTATGTGTATTTTGTTTTTGCTTCAGACCCTTGTAAAACTTTTCTCAGGACGTAAACCCATGCTATACAGTTTCCAGACATCGTTACCACGATTGCCAGTTCCAGCTGTTAAAGACACAGTTAATAGGGTATGTACATTCCCCGGTTTGTTTTCTTCAGTTACACAGAATCCTAGATGCTTTTTGGGATATTTTTGCCATTCCTCATGAAAAACTGCACAGTGGTATTAATATGGTGTAAGAGATTCAAACTTCTGCATGGAAATGAAAATAAAGGCTGTGACAAACCAGTGAAACTGGTGACAGTTTGAAGCCAGTGTGATTCACACTGGATGACATAATGCCTGTTGTAAGGCTGTGCCACAAAGTGTGATTTCCAGGGGGTTTGAAGCACACTTTTGTTAGCCTTCCCAGTTGTGCAGTGTTATTAAATGTGTGTGTCATAACACAAAATCTTGTAGCAAAGTGGGTAAATATGGCAGGATGTCACAGAAACTGAAGGTTTGATCTTTAGAGGAGAAAAAGAAAAATCTCAGTCTGCTACTGAAGAAGCAGCATGCCTTACCCTTTGCAGTGGAAAATATTTAGAAAAGTTGCCTCTTCCACTTGTGTTTTGCTCACAAATGTCTGAAGAAATATTTTATTTTTTGAAGTTTGCAGCAGACATTTAGAAGAACATATACTCTTATTTTAAAAACATGGTACTTGTAGCCTTATGGACTGAGAGTGGATAATCTTTGTTTAATGCTAAAGTGCTTTGTGTAGGAATGGTGAGAAGCTGTGTATTAGTTCCTGCACTAATCAGGAACACTGATTCTTTTCTTGTGTTCTAGTATCTGGAGTCAGTTCGACCACTTATGGATGATGAAAAGTTCAAAAGAATGGAGGGTCTTGCCAAAGATTTTGCTTTTAATTTGGGACCAAGGCTTCAGTGGTATTTGAAGCTAAAATCCTGGTGGGCCACCAATTATGTAAGTAGATAAATAGGAAGCTCAGTTGTTCAAATTACATTATTTGTTCCCTGGTGCTCTTTTTGGCTTAAACTGCATTATTTCTTAAATGTAAAAGAAGGAAATTGAAACTGTTTAATATTTTTTTTAAAGTGCATGTGACTTCGCATGTAAATTATTTGTATGATTTGGTAAACAGTATGGTGAGCAAAGGTGAATGAAACTTGAAAAAATGCATGCTTATTTTTTGTTTTATTATTCTGGAGAATTTTGCTGTTAGGATTGTTTTTGGGGTTTGCTTATTTGCTTGTTGAGTTTGATAACTCAATAATGGACCTGGCTACCCAGGTAGTTTAGAAGAATGATTTAGAACAGTTTTTTAGTATAGAGCAGCTAAGGCATATAAAAATAAAGAACTGTATCTGTTCAGCTGTTGAGCTATGTTTTCTTTTTTTTCTTACCAAAAAAATATCCAATATCCCTCAGCATCCTAGTGAGAACTGCAATGTTAATTCCTTCTTGATATATTATCTAATGTACTTGCACCCAGGTAGCCTAACCTGTCCTGGCAAAGGCTGTAAAGCATTCAGGAGATCTGATGCATTTTAAATATTATGTGGAGATCATGACTTCTTTGAAACCTTATCAGAGACATATAGCTGAATTTGATTTAGTTTTCTCACCCTTTTTTTCCCTGTTTTCCCTGAAATCTGATGGAAATAAGCAGGGCGGGGATTATTGTCTTTTTAAGTGCTAGCAGTTTCCTTTCCATTTCTGGATGGAATGTTGTCTTATGCAGCCATCAACATAGAGGACTTAAACTGTGAAAATGATGAGATTTTACTAATTTTGTTTTTCCTTCCTGCTGCAGGTTAGTGATTGGTGGGAAGAATACATCTACCTTAGAGGACGTGGACCAATCATGGTTAATAGCAACTATTTTGCAATGGTGGGTAAATAAATCCTATAAACACCTTATGTTGCATAGAAACTGTAACATTTCTGGCGGGCATCTTACTTCATGGTGTCTTTCTGCTTAGAAATCTATTGCCATGAGGATGTAACCTTTGTTTTTCTTTCTTCTGGTATAACCTGCAGCCAGTGTCTTCAGGTACCTCCAAGTATGTCACATACTGAAGTATGTGACACAAACTCCTGTCTTAGCCCTAGCACAGCTGCCACTTTGGTAATCTTATGCAATAATGACTTAATCAGTTTTGTCCTTTCTGTAAAGAGTAATCTTCCAAAATCTCCATGTAAAAAACTTCATGGGTAACACAGCTGAAGGAGGTGTGTGCTCATGCTGGCAAGTGTACATAGAGGAAGTAAAATTGTAAAAGATTGAAAATAAAAAGGAAAAAAGAAATATGATGGTCTTGGATCAAGTTTTATGTGGCGCTGTCTTTTCTACTTAAATGATTAATAATGTTTAAGGAGATGTGACTACTGAAGAAAAGTTTCATCAGCTCACTGCACTTGTAAACTTCATAAATTTTAAAGCCTTTTCTACATTGTCCAGAATAAACGTTTAAGTACATGGATGAGAAGTACTACTTTAATGTAGCCTGGTAATCTTTAACTTATTCTTATCTACTTTACAGGACTTCCTTTCTTTATGTCCCACAACCCTGCAGGCAGCTAGAGCTGGTAATGTTATCCATGCCATCCTGCTCTATCGGAAAAAACTGGACAGACAAGAAATCAAGCCAGTATGTATATCAGTTTAAGTGGTTTTTGATCTTTTTCCAGCACAATCTGTGAGAAACTGACCAGCTTTCAGAATGGGAGAGGAGAGGAATGTCTTATTGTTACAAATTTTTGTGGTCCATACCATCTTGGCTATTGCTTGAATTGCACATGGGCAGGAACTAGCAACTGTCAAAAATACAGAATTGCTTGGATAGAATACAGGATGGTTGGGATAGAGGTCTGGAGGCCACTTGACACCACGAGTGGGCCAGCCTAATATGATGGTAACATCCTGTGTTGCACTAATTTCTAGGTAGCAAAAAGGCAAATCCCATTTGAGTTTCTGTGCTATCCAGTGCCTGTGTATTGTAGTAAACAAAGACTGTGGAAACAATTAAGTAGTTTTTGTCAAGATCATGGAAGGGATTAATTGAATGGAACTACAAGTCTGAGAAATGTGAACTTTTGTTCCTGCACAGCCATAAATAGCTTAAAAGAATTAATTAAGGGGTAATGCATGCTGCCAGACCACCCATGGAGAATTTCAGGTGCTAGCTAGCTTCAGTCTTCCCTCATGGAGGGTGACTTTTTGGTAAAAGGGGAAAAATAATGGCTCTGGAATGTCTATGGAGTATTCCACATGTAGTTTAAGGAAAGACCATGAACAGGGAGGAAAAAACTCAACACTGCATTAATGTATTATAAATCTTACTCTTCTCAAGCCTTTGTTTAGCAAGATCTTGGGGTTTTTTCTTTACTTTTTAATTTTCTGATTGTATATGCAAAATGACATTTTAATGTATGTTTGCTTCACAGATTCTTTTGATGGGATCCACTGTTCCACTCTGCTCAGCTCAGTGGGAAAGGATGTTTAACACTTCCCGTATCCCGGGAGAGGAATCAGGTAAGCAGGGCCAGCCAAGGAGAATGAGCACCTTGATGGAACTCAGGGCTTGGTGTCTTTTCTACTAAAAATCTGGTTTTCCAGATAAAGATCTGACTGGGACAAGTGTAGATCCATACTGTGTTCCAAGACTCAGGATGTAATGGATTGCTGTAGAGTTCCTAGATGTCTTTCATTTTAGGGAGATTTTGAAGCCTTTTAGTGGTATTTCTCCTTAAATTAAAAAACCAACTTCAAGATAATATTGTCGGTCCTTTTTTTGAATTTATAAATAATCTTTACTTTTATTTTTCCAAGATCAAGATGATTTTTGAGGTCTTAGTATTAAAAGTGGCATTTTTTTGTTGTCTTTTATTGTTTTTCCTAAGTTTTCTCACTGTAAGTGGTGTCAGATTGCATCTAGAAGAACTTACCATTTGTAATCATCAGGTGGAAGAAAACATTACTATTCATTTCCTTTCTCTTTGAGAGCTTCACAGTCGATTTTAGTGAAGACTTGTGCTGGTGTCTTTTTCTACAAAAGCTTAATCTGTATCTAGGCTTCTCTGATCATGTCATATTCTGAAGAGCCTCTTAGAAATGATTTCACCTGTTTACCCAACACTGTGTCATTGTGGCAGCATCACAGTGAAACATGAGCAGGAGTTGTTGTTTACTCACCTCCATTGGGAATGCATGTAGGGGCTGCCACTTGAAGACAGGATGGGTTTTTTTTTGCTTTCTGTGAGGCCTGTAACTCACTCTAATGTTCCAAACTGCCTTCAAACTTGTTACTCCCACTCAGCTACAGAATTCAAAACAAGAGTTTCTAGGCAGATGCAGGGATCTGCCCACTCTTCCCTGCTGGCGACTGACATTTGCTGTAAGAAGCTGGATAAGGGGGAGGAGTGGCATTGGATAGTGGCTAAAGCAGTAGGTGCATGTGTCAGATAAGGACTTTACTCTCAGTTCTGCTGCTGGCTTTTGCTAGATTGTTGGGGAATTTTTTTTCAAGCTATGCCTCAGACAGCTTTATCTGCAAACTGAAGGAAAGGACATCCCTGGTGTCATTACTCCGAGTCATAACCAGTAGCTTAAATAGACGAGCTTGAATTTTTTTATTGAATCTCTCCTGTACAACTTTAGTCTATGGGCTACTCTTACTTAGAGTACTGCAATACTCAAGTATTGAGAGTGCAACCCTTGCCCCTTCCCTGTTCTCCGTAAAATAAAAGATATAAACAGTTTGCATTTAGCATTGGTTTTCTTTCAGTCTAAAATGAGTTTTGTACAGAAGTGTAGAAGTGGCTCATTCTAACTGGCGCCTGATTAAAATACATCCTGTATATCTTAGGGGTTCTCCTCAGTTTCTCCTGTTTAAAGTCTTTCAAATTAAACTACAGTCAATATTATAATTACTGTCTTTTTCTCCTAGGCTTTTCACATTTCCTATTACACTTTTTCCATTTTGCTTTGTTTCTGTTTTTCTAAAGGAAAAAAAATTGTGTCATTCTGTATATGTCTAAGTGAGTTCCAAAAACATTTTTCACACATTCTCATGAGCAGCTTGACTCCTTGTCTCCTGATTTCAATTACTTTATGTATATTACAGTTCCTAAAGGAAAAAAAAGGGAAAAACTTGTTTTCCTATTAATTGGTGAGAAAATCTTGGTGAACATTGTATTGTCACTTGAGCAGCAGTTAAATAGTCATGATTTTTGACAAAACATGCTATGGAGTGAACGACTTCACCTGTGGTTTGATACAAAGCCTTCGTGACTAAATTTAGGCTTATCCCAGTTAGGCCAAGTAGATGGTAAAATGAGGGAAAAATGTGGCCTCATTTTCTGCTTCACATAACATTACACATTTTAGCCATATATGGAATATTCACTCTGCATCTGCCAAGACAAATGTAAACAAAAGCTGATGGTATAAATTCTGAGTTTCTTAAGACTCTGCATGAATTGTCTAGGACCTGAATGCAAACGATTTAAAAATACCTTTCCTGATACTCATCTAGCATATTCTTCACCAGGCTACACAGCTAATGCTCATTTTTCAGATAAAGAAATATAGATTTAGTTGCTTGATAGTGGCCTGCAGTGTAGAAGGTGGTGGTGCTATATGTGGAAATGACTGTCAGATCTGGCTATTTGACTGTTTCATGGGGGCGTCTTTGTGATGAAATACCATGGGGTGCTAAATTAACTTGTAGTGCATGCAATAGGCATCTGATGTTATTTAGTGCATTAGTGTTTTGAGACTTCAGCTTTGTGTTCACCTAAGTGATTGCAATTCTAGATACCCTCCAGCATGTGAAAGACAGCAAGCACATTGTTGTGTACCACAAGGGCCGTTACTTCAAAGTGTGGCTGTACCATGATGGCAGACTGTTGAGACCCCGAGAAATTGAACAGCAAATACAGAGAATTCTTGAGGATGATTCAGAACCTCAGCCTGGTGAAGAGAAACTTGCAGCTCTTACTGCAGGAGATAGGTATGGTGCTTATTACTTTTTAAATAAGTTTAGTTTTTAGAAATTATTGCATAACATAATCATTGGATATTGGCTTTAGAATTTTAAAATAGTCTGCAGTCAGTTGTTTATACCTTGGTCACTGATTTTGTATATTGATGATATGTAACACTGCTTCAGTCACTTGTAATTGTGTGGAATTAAAAAAATTTTGCAGTGACAATCCTATATGCAGATTATTATTTTTACTGTTGTCGTCTTCCTTATAACAGACACTTTCTTTTGTTTAGTTTTAAGTGAAGATGATCCATGCTGTAGGTATTGCATGTGCAGAAATGTTGAATTTCTGAGGATGAAGTTTTGCACGTGTGTGATGATGAGTTGAATTGGTTCCTAGGATTCCACTGTACAAGAATTGTCAGAGCTTTTCACAGCTCTCAGAGTTTAAATGCAAAGAAAGTAGCTGTGTCAAATTCCACAGAAGTAGGAGGAATGTCTCATAGTGATTTTAACGGTAATCAAACATTGACCATTTTATATAATCTGGCTATAAACCAATTTTTTTTTTACAGAGTACCATGGGCTAAGGCTCGTCAGGCTTATTTTAGCCGTGGAAAGAACAAGCAGTCCTTAGATGCTATTGAGAAAGCAGCATTTTTTGTGACATTGGATGACATGGAGCAGGGGTACAGGAAGGAGGACCCAGTGAAGTCACTGGATGCATATGCAAAATCATTGATACATGGCAAATGTTATGACAGGTGCAGTATTGACACTGTGGAAAATGCCTTCCTTTTTTTTAGAATTTGCTAATACATATGAATTTATGATGACTTTTAAGTTGATAAATTCCACAGAATCACAGAAGGGTGTGGGTTAGTAGGGACCTTCATCTAGTTCCACCCCCCTTTGCAACAGAAAGGGACAACTTCCACTGCATCAGATTGCTCAGAGCCCAGTACAACCTGACCTTGAACATTTGCAATGACAGGGCATCCACAGCTTCTCTGGACAATCTGTTCCAGTGTCTCACCAGCCCACTGTAAAAAATATTTCTCCATTATACCATATCTAAATTTACCCTCTTTCAGTTTATATCTGTTGCCCTGTGTCCTGTCACTATGAGCCATGACAAAAAGCCTTTCTCAGCTTTTTTAATAAGCTCCCTTTATAAATTGAAGGGCTGCAAGGTGTTCCCAGAGCCTTTTCCAGACTCAACAACAAGCCCAACTCACCCTTTCTTCATGGGAGAAGTATTCCAGCACTCCTGCTGGAATATTTTCATGACTCTCCTCTGACCCAGCTAACAGTCCTATGTCCTTCTTGTGCTGAGAACCCCAGGGCTGGACACAGCTCTCTAGGTGGGATCCCATCAGAGGGGAGTAAAGAGGCAGAATGCCCTCCCTCACCCTTCTGGCCATGCTGCTTCTTAGGCAGCCCAAGACAGCATTGGCTTTCTGGGCTCCAAGTGCCCCTTGCCAGCTTATGATGAACTTTCCATCCCCAAGTCCTTCTCTGCAGAGCTGCCAAATCATTCATCCATCAGTCTGTTGAACTGAGCATTGTCTTGACCCCGATGCAGGGCCCTGTAGTTAACCTTGTTGAACTTCATGAGGTTCAAACTTCTATTTATTTAAATGTCCTTATATTAAAAAGGATAGGTTCTAGTGGATTTGAATATGAATTTTAGAGAGAGGAGGTTACAATACAGAAATGCTTTTGAAATGTACAAAACTGTAAAGAAATCTTGATTTCTTTTGTAGGTGGTTTGATAAGTCATTCACTCTTATAATATTCAAAAATGGCAGAATGGGTCTGAATGCAGAGCACTCCTGGGCAGATGCTCCTATTGTTGGACACCTGTGGGAGGTAGGTGCTTGGCACAAAGAGCTGATGCAGAAGATAATGTGCAGGGGCTTGCAGCAGCCCTGAAGGTCAGCAGTGACTTTCAGTCCCTTGCATTCACGTTGCTGAGGAGTGACCTGGGGCCTATGGCTGCAGCAACTGTAGAATTTGGAAGAGATCCCAAACCCTCACTTAAGAAGCTGCTGGTTTTTGAAGGCCAGCATTTTAGTGAGCTTAGATGTCTTCACAGAATAGTGATACACCTCCCCAGCTACCTTTTCTTTAATGTTTTAAATCCACAGATTATTACCTCTTTGATATGGCATTGTAATTTTTGTATGTACGTTTTCCTAAAGCTCTTAAGTTTTCTTGTGCTATAAAACTCCCATGCTTACTTTTAAAATGTAAAAAGTTATACACAGTTTTACTTTTTGTCTAAGCATTGTTTGCCAAGATGCAGACTGATATGCTGTTGACATTATCTCTTGTATTTATTTGCATTGAATACAGTAAATTTATTTTGCTTTGCATTCATTATATGCTTAGTTTAGTTCTTGAAATCCTATTTGATTTTTTTCCTTTTTTTCATTTTGAAGCTTAAACCTACAAACAGTTAGGTGACTCAAATAAATTAAAACTATTTCCAAAATGTTATTTAATTTTGATTTTGTATGTATTTGTGCAAATGGGTCTTGAGTCTAATTGGCCCCTCAAGTAATTTCTGAGTTTTGTTATAGAAGTGCTTCCATATGTATAAGAACCAAAAAAAAGCCTCATTGCATTCTCCACCCAGGGAAGAAAGAAGGCCAGACTGATTTGAGAGTGACATGACAATGCCATGTAGACTATCTCAGTGAAAGAGGGATACTTTTTTTACTTTTAATGAATGATATTATATGCTTAATTCATATATCTGTACTTAATATTAATTGATACATTTTCTGCTAAGAATTAAGATTACTGAAACAAGATTTCATTTTCTAGAAAGTTGTGTGTTGTTAGCTCTTTACAGATTGTCTGTTTTTAGAATTGAATGGATTAAGCTTTATTTCATAGTTGTCATGTTCTGACCAGTAAGTGAAATGAGAACATGAAAAGAAAATGAAATTAAAATAAGAGATTAGAAATAAATCATTGACAATCATCAAGCTTTTTCTTTCCATATTGAGCAGATTCAAATCTTTTGGTAGTTCTTTGTGTTTGTATGTGGGCTTGTTGATTCTTGATTTTTATTTTTTTTTTAACATTGAGGATGCTTGATATCTTATAAGACAAAGCCTTTTATGTCTGTTCAAGTTGTGTTGTTCATCTTGGAACATGCGTCTTTCCACCCAGGAGCTCTAGTGCACATGTAAAATAAACTGCAATTTTGAAAGGGATACAAATCTTAAAAATAATTGAGTTCTTGCAGGATTTGCACTTACTCTGAAATAAATTACTGCTCGACGAATTAGTTTTGACAAATAACAAACTTGAAGAAATTCTCTAGAATCTTAATTGAACAAAGGTAGTGAAGTCTGAGTTCAGTTTTTTGCTTCTACTTCGTTTGAGGTGGGTTTTGAATTGAAAAGGTTTTTATTAAACCAGTAGCATCTAGCAAAATGCACCAGCGTAATTAAATAAGTGTTTGGTGCACATCTGGTGTTCTTCTTGTAAAAATGGGGGCTTCATTGCAGTTGTTTTCAGTATTTGGAAATGGATTGTGTGTTTTATTTTGCTGTGTAGTGAAAATAGGTTATATTGCTTTCACAATGAAACCCTAATTCCATGGCAGTAAGTAATGTGTTGCAATTCTGAAGAAGTATCATTCTTTGCAGAATGTGATGGCAACTGAGTATCTTGAACTGTGCTATTCAGTAGATGGACATTGCAGAGGAGATCCCAATCCCAATATTCCCATTCCTACCAAACTGCAATGGGAAATTCCAGAAGAAGTAAGTACAGAAGATTTAGTGGTATGAGGAAGAAATGCCTCTTTTCCCCAGTGGTCAAATAATTTATGTAATTATTGATAAACCTATAAATCAGTTCTAAATTCCTTTTGGTCCTGTAGGTTGTGTACTTTGTGTGTAGTCATTACTCAGTTTGCTTACAAAATCAGGAGGTTTTGATGTTAATCTTTAAAAATTCTGACTGGGAAATGCCAGTGTTTTACTAGAAGTTTTCTTGGTTGGCAATATGTCAAAAATAAATGGCCACCTCTTTTAAATAGTGACTGTATTAAAATAAACATTTACTTGCTGAGGTTTCATTAGTTTTTTCACAACAAAAACTCTTTTCTAATAGTTCCTTTAGAATAGCTGGGGTTTTTTGTGTTCATAGTTCATCTAATAAGATTTGAATTTTCCAAGTTGATTGTTGGTTTTTTTTTTGCTCAAGTTTCTAGAAAAACTGCCACCACCTATTTGGATTTTAATTTTGAATAAAAAGCTAATGGCTGGTGATTTATTTAATTAAGCATGTATGGGAGCTTGGAAGGCATACTGCTAATGCCATTCTGTCACTGTAGGCCATTCTTTTATATTCTCCTGATCTGAACAGTTTTAATGCTGGTGGGTTTTATGAGTTATTTTTGGATGTGTACTGGCTTAAAACATTTTTATTACCCTTTTGAATTTTAACTTTCTAGCAAAAATAGCATCTTTTCTTTCTCTAAAGGGAAATTACTTAGGTAATGATGTTCCTGGCATGCATAAAGGCAAGCATTTCCTGTTTAACAGTTAAAAATACTTGTACTTTTTCAATAGGTCTCTCAAATGCCATGAATGCATGCTTGTATACATACAGGTGTTTGTTTGTTTGTTTGTTTAAGTGCCAAGAAGTGATTGAGAAGTCTCTGAGCACTGCTGTAGCTCTAGCAGATGATGTGGACTTCTGTTCATTTTGTTTTGATGGTTTTGGGAAAGGACTAATAAAGAAAGTGAAAACCAGCCCTGATGCCTTTGTGCAGCTTGCCCTGCAGCTCGCTCACTACCGGGTAAGAACAGAATGTTTCTGCCCTGCGGAGCCTCCCTAGGCTGGGTGTAACGTGTGTGTGACTGAACATGTGACTGTGTAGGGTAACCCTGCACTGCTTGTACAAGGTTGTCAAAGACATTCAATGCAAATTGATACAAACCCTAAGCAGATTACTAGTTGAACATCAATTCTACAATGGTTCACATATTGATACATTTCTGAATTTTTCTCTTCTGCTTAGTTGATGTACCCCTAAGCATTTTGTACTAGAAGGAAGTTAGGAAACTTCTAGTAGCTGTGTTCATAAACACATAAACAATGTCAAATTTACCTTTCAGATTAGAGTCACACAGGATGCAGTAGTCATGGACACTCCCAAAGAGGATTAACAGAAATCCCTATCTGTATTTTCTTCTGTTAGTTCTCTTTTTCTCAATTGTGCTGTCAGAAAAGACCAATGTAGCAACATGCAGCCTCTCTTTTAAACTGAAGAGGGTTGAATATGAAATGCAGAGAGTACTCCTTGCTAATCTGGTTGTTCTGTTATTGTTTATCAAATCCTGCTACTATTCTTATTTTTGCCTTTATTATCTTTGGGTAAGGGGGCTAATGGTGGGCTACTGAAAACTCAAATGTTGAGTTTAATTTGTGCAGTGATTCATAGCCTGTGTGCTTTGCTTGGAATGTTGATTAAGAAAGAGGGGCCAAGTCTATCTAAACCTTTAAGTTCTTATTTTTCCCTTTTTCAAGGATATGGGAAAGTTTTCTCTAACATATGAAGCATCCATGACACGCCTGTTCCGAGAGGGCAGGACCGAAACGGTTCGCTCGTGCACGGTGGAGTCCTGTCGTTTTGTCAGAGCCATGGAAGACCCCACTGAAAGTGTAAGTTCATGGTGTTGGCGCCCTGTAAAATTGGGAGGGTGGATTTGGATTGGGTATTAGGAATAAATTCTTCACTGTGAGGGTGGTGAGGCACTGGAACAGATTGCTCAGAGAGCAGTGGATGCCCCATTCCTGGCAGTGTTCAAGGCCAGGCTGGATGGGGCTCTGAGCAACCTGGCCTGTGGAAGGTATCCCTGCCCATGGCAGGGAGGTTGGAATGAGATGATCTTAAAGGTCCCTTCCAACCCAGCCAACCTATGATTCTGTGATAATTCATAAGGCACATGAGTTACCACTAGACAACCATGTAAGTCCCCAAATAGTTTTTAAGCATTTAGTGTGATGTGGCTTTTTTTCAGAAGGAAGAGCTGCTTAAGGTAATTGTCCATGTTTTCTGTTAAAAAAGAAGAAATTCTGGGCCCTACCAAAAAAGAATGGCAGAACTTACCCAAATATATTCTTATTTACCTGCTTCTGAACTCCAGAAAACTGTGATTACATGTAAAATTTTTGTGATTTGTAAAACTCAAACATAGATTTGTAGAACAACTAATCTCATACCAGTTAAGCTTTCCTTTCTGACAGGGAAGCAAGAATAATTCCCAGGAAGGAAGTGGTTGCTCTTATATGTTGATTTTGATGACTAGCATTCATGGACCTCTGTACCTTCAGTGTTGGCAGTTTGCCTTCTGAAATAGCTCTGGCAGTTTGTTTTCATAAATCACGTTGGGATTTGCTCTCTGTAACTCTTTAATACCAGTATCTGTAGAAGCTGTAAATAATGTAGTAAGCTTGAGCTGTAGTCTTGTTTGATTGTAGGTTAGATAACACTTAAAATACAGATTAGTTTTCATTATGCTGTTTACAGTAGGTAACAGCAGACACTTGCTAATAGCTGAAATTAAATACCTGATGTTGAAAAGCCAGGGGATACTATTTGAGATCAGTTGTCTTGTACTTGACCTTGAAGTGCTCCAGGCTTGAGAGTCATTGCTGTAACTTAGTTTCTGCACCTTCATCCTTGATGTAGTTAATTTAACTGAGTTTTCTTAATCTTTTTTTGTTTGTTAGAGGGAAAATACGCTGAAGCTTTTCCGGCAGGCAGCTGACAAGCACCAGCACTTGTACCGCCTCGCCATGACAGGGGCAGGCATCGACCGCCACCTCTTCTGCCTCTACGTCGTGTCCAAGTACCTCGCTGTAGATTCTCCTTTCCTCAAGGAAGTAGGTGACCTTTACTGGTGACTCTTCATTACCATAAATAGTCCTTTGGTGAGTTAGTGTTTTGTGGTATCTGCTCAAGAGACTTGTGCAGCTCTGGTTTTCCTAAGAAAAAAGGTAAAATTGCAGCTCGTGCTGTTTAACATCTGCTGATAAATTGCTGAGTTAGTTTCATTTTCCTTTATGTATGCATTTGTTGATAGACCTAAAAGAATGCTTTCAGTGAGCTTTTTAGCATAATGCATGTTACTTAGAGTTGCAGGAAATATATAGTCACTATTGAAAAAAATTTTTTTTTGCTTTGTGTATTTTCAAGGGTGTACAGAAGAGGCTGTGTGTTTTCTCTGAGAATTTTCCTGTGGAACTGACAAATTCAATTCCTTTTAAGTTAGTAAGAGTTAAAGGAGCTGTATATGGCATTAATGTCGTTGCAAATTATTCTGACAAATTATTAATTAAACTAGATTTTAAGGTTGGATTTTATAAAAGTAATTACACTGCCCTTGTTCCTTTTTTCTGGTTAATAAAAAATGTATTCCACCTTGCCTCAAAATTAAGCTATTCACGTTTGTCTGCTTGCTCTCCTAAAAGTGGCTAAGTCAAGAATAAAACAACTTTCTACAGTTTCCACAAACTTTCAAGATGTGTTGTTAGAGATTTACAAGCTTCTATCTTGATGTAGGATCTTCCTGGGATTTGAATATGACTAATTACGGTCTTGTTAAAACAAGACCTTTTGTGTGTAAGTTACAAGGCTGTAGACCAGGTGATCTTGTTTGAAGTAGCATTTCTGTTGAAATTGTTTTATTCTCTTTGAGGAATTCACATCACTTCCTCATATGAGAATGATTTCTATATCAGGACTAGTTTAACTGTTTCATTAAAGCTTCTTAGTTTTTCATTCCATTGAAATGGAAGTTAACCTTAATATTGCTTTATAAAGTGTTTTCTAACAGTTTATAAAGCAATACTGCACTTGTTATAATGCTATCCTGACTAGTTTTTGAAAAAGTTGGAAGTTCTTAACCAGTGTTTTCTATTTGTTTGCATCTCTTTCATATCTAATACAGGTTTTGTCAGAGCCTTGGAGGCTGTCAACGAGTCAGACACCCCAGCAGTACATTGATCTGAAGAAGAACCCGGAGATGCTGTCCTCTGGTGGAGGGTTTGGACCAGTATGTATCCTAAATACAAGTATCCACTAAAACAGAGTTTTACGTTCAAGACACCAGTCAAAAAATTTCAGATCTGTAATCCCTCATTGTTGCATATCAAAGGTGCAGCTCATGCTTTTAAATGCATGTACATAATACTTTCCCATGATGTGGCTGTGTTTAGAAAAGTCTGCATCACCCTTTTCTGGTATCCCACTACAAGAAGGGATTATTCCTAAGGAAATGCACAGTTATGAAATGAGGTACAGGGCTCCAAGGCAAAGAGAACTTAGGAAATTGGGATTCTTACCACATTGCCTGTGCCCAGATCTTCTGTAGATTAGACTGTTGTTACAGTGACAAATGCAATGTTACTTAAACTAGATTTTAAGATTGGGATTTGTAAAAGTGCTTATACGTCACTTGTTCTTATATTTCCTGCTTGATGAATAAATGTGTTCATACATTCCTCCAGATCAAGCTGCTCACATTGTTCTGCTTGCCCTCCTAAGTGTGAATCGTGGCCAAGTCAAGAATACAGCCATGTTCTATGGCTTCTGTAGACTTTCAAGGAACCAGTGTATTGCTAGAGATTTGACAAGCTGCTTATTTGCTGTGATATTTTATTGGTATTTGAGCTTGGTCATTGATGAGAATATTGGTGTCAACAAAACCTTTTCGGCAGCCTTTTTGGGGCTATTATAATAGATTAATCTGTTTTCAAGAAGCATTTCTATTGAAGGAACAGTGAGAGGTATCACAGGACTGCTCTTTGCCCCACAGAAATTAGGGTGACAAGTCCAGTGTATTTTGGCTGGTTTGTCAAGCTGGAAGATGGGGAATGGGAGGTGGGGTGTGTTAAATGGTTGATGTTTATTTACTCATGTTTCTGATACAGCTTTCAGTAGTTTTTGAAGTTGAAATGAATTCGACTTGCAGTATCAAGAAGGCCTAGCTATGGCTCATTCTTGAGATTCTGACTTCCTCAAGCCATTATGAAATCAGTATTCTGAATGCCCAAAAGGCAATAGAAAAAGGTTTTGGCTGTAGGAATTCTAACACTGTTTTCCTTTGTGTTTGTTAACAAAAACTATGCTTTGGTTTGCTGAATTAGCCCAGAGATTCAGTACATCAGCTTTCTATGCATGTGTTTTTTGTTGGTTTTGAAAGGTTTTTTTAAACATTCAGTGGAGTTTATCTTTGTAGCACTAACAGTGAGAAGAGTGAGAAGACTGTCAGACTGCTTAGCAGCAGTGGCAGCAAGGACATGGAAGGTTGAGATCCTTTGAGTTAGGAAAGACATGAACAGGGGTGACATCAGGATAATCTGTGTTTACCTGGCATAGTTGGAATAAAACATCAGACTGAAACTTGGCACAGTAAATGTTGAAATTGGACCAGACCTCATGATACAGGTGTTCAGAATCACATGTTTGCTGTAGAGGCAGAAAAAAACTTGCATTTGGCAACTTTTCATCATGCAAGGCTTTTACACTGTGTTTGTTTACATCTGCAGAATGACCCCAGGAGGCTGATTGGTTAGGTATACAACTGAACTAATTTATTCCTTGCTGCTTAAGCATTGAAGATGTATAGCTACTAAGGACCAGGATTTTCTATTGCCTTTCTATTACCAAGAAATACCTGAATAAGTATTTTATTTCAAACTATTAAAGCTGGGAAATATTACAGATAAATATTCAGAAAGTGGTTATTCCATGCACTTCAGATGAGACTAGAACTACTCCTTAAGTGGAGCCAATCCTCAGAAATTTTGCATTAAATATAGAAGTTGAAATTTTACTTGAGGAAATTGTAACTGATCTTAAAAAATGTAACAACTTCTTAATTGTACTTAAGTTGATTGAGAATGAAGGAGAAAGAAAAAGTTTAGAAGGTGTTTTTCTCTTCTGTCTTCCCCTAGGTGGCTGATGATGGCTATGGTGTTTCTTACATGATCTTGGGTGAAGATTTCATCCATTTCCATGTCTCCAGCAAAATATCTTGTTCAGAGACGGTAAGAGTCAGTCCTTTCTTATGGTTTCATAAATCTGTTCTGCTTTGTGCTTATAGAACTATTATACTCATTGTCTAAAATATAAATAATGTAGGTTTTATTTCTCAATATATGCTGCTTTGTTGGAGTTTTTTGCCTCCAGTTGTATAAATTTAATAGTTTCATGAACCAAGGATACCATATTCTATTTCACTTATGCTTTGAAGCATAAGGAAAATACGTGGCCCAGGATCATCTTTACACATGTGTAATTCCCTGGAGCTCAGGTGAAATGATCACTTCTGTCTCCTAAACAGAAAGATGGGCTTATCTTGGTTTTTCTTATTACAGTTTTGGTTTGTCTCAGGGTGCAGCTGTAAAGACAGAATAAAATGTATGCTATTTCAGGCTTCCTGGTTTAAATAATGCTGAACAAAGCTGACCCATAAATTGTAATCTGTGCTTAAGAGACATAACTAATCAAAAATTTATTAGAATAACACCCATTATTAGAGGATAGTAGATGTGTCATATGTTGAATATGCTGCTGCTGTGGAGGACTTTGAGCTTTGAGTGCTTTGTGCTTTGAGTTCAATTAATCCTTCCCCTTTATATTTTTGTGACCTTACTGAATATGCCAAGTTCATTGAGGGTTACATAGCTGACCTAGTTTTCCTCTTTTGACCTTAACTTGTCCAGGAGATCATGGTGCTTCTGGTTAATCATTAAGGATTAGGAAATACAACTGTTTTTTTCATAGTTGAAATTGTTCTTCAGATGCCTGTTAGCTTGTCCTTTAAATTTCACTCTGTTCTTTTTACTTATCAATCGAGTCAAAGGTCCATAGAGAAAAGGCAGCCATTTTGTGTGTGTGCCCTTGACATTAGTAGGTCATTGTAGTTGATCCTGTAATGTAGCTAATAATTTACATTTGTAATCTTAATTTCTTTCTTGTACCATCTATCTAATGCTTAGAATAAACAGAACAAGTTCCTGTTTTGTTTACACTTAGAAAGTTGTTACTTGCATTTCTAATTCTTTTTTCAATGGCAAATGATTCAGCATTTCTGATAGGAGCTCAAATAAAAATAATTTTTCTGCTCTTTCAGTACTTCTTGGTCATTAGTCATCCACTCACTGAACACTCCTTTCTGAAAATGAGCTTTTGCAAAATCTTGTAGGAGAAACAATATCAAAACCCAAATTTTAAAGTAGCAGAAAGCTATGCATGCATCTGATTTCAAGAGGATATGATCTTATTTCTGACTGTAGGAAAGTAAATGCATACTGAAGAACTCATTGGTCAGTACTAGCATAAACCTGGATTAATCTGTATGACATTAAAAGTTCTCTTATTAAAATTCCCGTTGTATGGTAAAATAGATGTCTGAATTCCAGAAGCTCCAAAACTACAAAATATTAGCAAGTTTCTTCTTTTGCCTGAAAAATATCTGTTGATGGACAGTACAAGTATTTGGTTTTTGGTTTTGTTTGTTTGTTTTTAAAGGATTCTCATCGCTTTGGAATGAACATCAAGAAAGCACTGGTTGACATCATGGCTTTATTTAACCTCAGTAAAAACTGTACCAAGTGATCTGCTTGCTTGATGCCAAGCAATCTCCTCTTGGTGGGATGAGGACTCTGCTGCACAGTGAACAAGAGCAAGGTTTGTTGAAGAGTAGCTGGAGAAGAAACTGAGTCAGCACCTTCTTGATCACCTATTAAAACCTTAGCAGTATATTAAATGTGTCTTTTTTGTTGTGGTTTGTTTTGGGGTTTTTTTTTGTCAGTAGTGTGGGAGAGCTTATTTCAACAAAGGATGACTTCTAAAATCTTTTTCTAGGGAGGAAGCATAGTATCAATGCATGAAGTCATGTATATTCTAACTTCTGCAGTTTTCTCTTAATTTGTATATGCTTTATCTTTTTTTTTTTTAACTTTAAATTAGTTTACTTGTTTCCAGAATCAAAGGGATAAAACACACCGACTTAAATACTAGAAAAGGTTAGATTCGCTATGTATTAATAGCAGAATGTTCTTCAATGTATCTGCTGCTTTATGTAAATGAGTGACAAAACTTGTGGCCATTTGCCTCCCTTGGTTTCTTTTTAGAGGTAAATTCTGTAAAACATACCAAAAAATCCCTGCTGTAACCACCTTAACACACTAAGTTGTAGAAGTGTTACGGTTTCTGAAAAGCAAAAAAAAAAAAAAAACAGAGACCCAGCTATTGGATAGTACAATGTGTCCCCTCATTAGCAGGTATCACATTTTTCTTACTGCTTGCAAGCCTGTTTGTGACACTGATTTTATTTCTGTATAAATAAATGGACCTGTGTACTTGTTCATGCAAGTGCCTTAGAAAAACAAAGATCCTTAGGCCAGGAAAAAGGCTTATGCTGGGAGTTGTTTCAGTGGTGAAAGAGGGAAGGTTGTAGTAATGCAGATCTGGTTTTCAAATTACAAATTAGGATGGAGTGGCATAAGCAGATGTGAATATGTTGCCAAATGGTGCAGTCAGGTTTAAAATTCTAACGAAATGCTTCTGTCTCAGATAGCAAAGGTGGGTCCTTAGGAAGGGCAGGACTAACTTTGTTTGGGATTAACAGATATTCATGTGTTTGTTTTGGTGAGTGGAATTGGTGGTCACTCGGGTTTCTGGGCCCTGGGAAGTGTTAATTGAGTTGAATGTAACCTGTTGGAAAGTCTGCAAAGCAGGGCTGCCAGTTTGCAGTTTGCCTGGAGGCACCACTGCTGCCTTGGCAGCCACCTGCATGAGAAGGGCAAACTGCTGAAGCCATGGGAAGTAGCTCCAGAGTGGGAAAGTCATGGCCTTCTCAGCCCCTCCTGGGAGGTGCTCTTGGCCAAGCAGTTCCTGAAGGATACAGGGAGGGAGGGGAAGCTTTTTCACTCAGAAAGGAGCTTGGTGTTTCCAAGTGCAGAAATAAAACGGCTGCTAACAACTGGAGTAAATTCTGCATGATGCTTCTCTTCCCTGGGCTTTATAGGTGTGGTACCTTTTTACATCCTGCAGTGCAGTAAAGTGTACTTGTTAGCACAGCCATTTTTTTATTGTTATTATTTTATATAAGGTACATGATGGTTACTGATACGGTGAATGATGCTCCTGAGCTCTGCTGAGTTTAAAAGACCCTTGGGGTGGATATAAAACTTCTCATTAGACTTTGAATGTTTTCTGGCCAGTATCTCTAACTTTCTATGCCTCTTCATACTTATTTTTACTCTGACCTAGCTATTAAAACACCTGTGTATGTATGCTTGGGGTGGGAACCCTCAAAAATCCAAGATGCATACTTTAGCAACTGCATGCTTACATAAATGTGGGAACCCTCACAGGAACTGATCAAAGGCACTCATTGTTTGATTAGGGTACAGTGTGTGGGAAAGGACACTTGGAAATAAGCCTTACTGCATCTGGCAGACCTGGCACTTACCAAGCTACTGCAACAATATTATAGTGATCTATTTTTGGAGCTGCAGAAATAATGCACTGGGGGTTTTGGGGGCTGTTTTTGGTGTTGGCTTTTTTTTTTTTTTAATTGACCACTGACCAGTCTGTGTTTAAATTAACATATTAGCTTTTAGGGTTTTCTTTTAAAAAAAAAAAAAAGTTTAGATTTGACTCTCAGGTCTTAAGTGTTTCTAGTCTAATTGTAGTTATTGCAATTTTGCATTCTTGGAGAGTAAGTATGATTGGCACAGAAAGCTGTTTTTTATTGTAAATGTTTCAAATGTTTTGTGGTGTTAAATGTATCTTTTTAAATTTTGGAATAGAAATAGTTCCTGAAGAGATAATATTTTATTTCTTTTTCTTTAAAATGTCAGCAGCATGTAAATAAAATATGCTTTTTGGATGTAAATCTTAGAAATCCACAGTGAATGTAGGTTATTAATAAATAATTTAAATCTTGATGTTCAATATTGTGTACATACAGTAAAACTGCTTGGGTTTTTTTTGCTCAAAGCCATAGGAATGTAACTGAAATTACCTAAATTTGAATGAACCTTCTAGTACAGTGTATTTTATTGTAAAATTAAATGTTCATATTCCAGGAAAACTGCTAATTTGATACTAAAACCTTGAATCATTGATTCTCGATTAATTATTTAGGAGATCAAACTTCTTAGGGTTGAGGAGGTGGCTAAAAGCCAAGTTGGATGATAATGATTTTTTCTGTTTATGAAATGGCAGTGTGGAATTGGTGGAATATACCTTAAGTGAGCATTTTTCAAATTTATTATTTCAGCTGTTTCATGGCAGAAGTTTGGAAAGCATGGAGTCCATTTACAGGGTACCATTGTTTGGGATTAGTACTGTTCCCAGCTGAATATTCTTTTAAGGCTTAAAGCTTTTGAGGGACTAGGGAAGTGTGTGCCTGACCTTGAAAATCATGGTTCTAGTTCAGCCTTTGTACCAATTGTTTTCTCATGTAAAATGTATTAATTTAAAGTAGCAGATTATTTTTTATCTTGTTTAGTTACTTTACACCTGTTGTTGGTTATTTACATCCAACACTTTGTCTCTATTTTCTACTTTCTTCTGTGACTTCAAAAACTGAAATAAAATTTCACAATTCCCACTACCTGGAACAATGTTTAATATCTTTTGTATCTTCTTGCCAGCTCCCTTGCTGTAGTTGCTTGAAATTCAGGACTTGTGAATCCATTGCTGTTAAATCCATTTAGGAACAGTAGCAGTGAACTGTTCAGTTTATTTTAGCAGTGATTTAAACATGTCTTCTAGTTAATAGGGAATGTGTTAATGAACAGTTAACAGTTCCAGAAATTAAATCTCCCAAAAAAGCTGAACATGTGGATTCACCCTTGTCTGCCATCAAATTGTGTCCACTTTCTTTTTTCTGTAATGATGCCACATAAAAATTTCAGTGTTCCAGCTTCAAGCGTTCTCCCTCCAGAAGGATCAGTCATACAAATAATAAAGATGCTATCAGGTGAAACAGTTGTTTTCTTGAAAGTTGAAGATAATGAAATTTATTAAATGTATTAATATCTATATTAAATTTAGAAAAATCTTTGTGACCTTTCAAGAAAAATCTTCTTGAAAGTTGAAGATAATGAAATTTATTAAATTTATTAATATCTATATTAAATTTAGAAAAATCTTTGTGACCAGCTCACTTCCTTACAGTTTGTCACACTATATATGAATATTTCCTTCCTTTGCCCTTTTTCTTGAAGCTATTAGAGTGAGATTCTGATCAGGTTAAAAATAATTGTATTGAAATAAAACTGATTGCTTGTTTCTATGCTGCTTGCTTACCTTCCTGAACTGCTCACTAGGTAAGGAGGAAGCACAGCACACACAGGTGGAGAGCAAATTGTCAAGTTCAAACAAATTCCAATTTGAAACTAGAAAACCCAGCTGTAGTTGGTTTCTGTCTTTGTTTCATTTTCCGTCTGGTTGGTTTATTTTTGAAAACACAAATGTAGGTATTAAGTGTGATGCTTTTATAGTTGCAAATGCATCTAAACAGAACTGTGCACTGAACAAAAAAAACCAGAAATAATATTCAAAATATGCAACAATATCAGGTAATGCTGAATGGGCCACAGCATTTATATGCCTTATGAAAATACATGTAGCTTCCCATTTTAACATCAATAAGTCACTATTTTTGTTCGGTCACTTGGCTTTTTTAAAATGAATAGTTTAATACATAAAATAATTATAAATAAAAGTTTCTTTTCTTCAGGTGTTTATGTCATTCCTATCTCCAGTTACAGGTAAGAATAAATGTTTTTGTTTGAAAGACATCAAACACCCAAACTGTTTCTCCCAGCAAGTCTTTTACAAAAGAATAGTAATATTTCTTTCACAAGAATGTAATGCTGCAGTGACATCAAAATCTTTTACTGTTGCTGCAAGGGAGTTCTTGATTAAGACTTGTCTTTTTATAAAGAAGACATGCATTATTTTAGGTACTGGATTTCCCTCAGTGATATCTGTGGTTTACCTCACACTTGTGCTTCTGTGTTTGATTAAGCAGGCAAGGTTTTATGCTAATTGGAAGAATCTGTCCAACCATTGACTGTCTAAAATGGGCTTTATTCTGAGTGCCAGAGGGGGTGAGAGGTGCTGTCAAGCACTGTCCTATCTGACCTGTTCACAAATGAGAGGCACAGAAAAATGGTGCTCTTAGATTTCCTGCATTGTGGAGCAAGGCAAAATAGCATCTGGAATTTTTGCCTGTTTCTGGTGCTCAGGACTCAAGTCTAATTGGCTCCTGCCTTTCCCTTGCACATTCAGATTCCAGTTCAGGACAGTTAGGAAGGGGTTTTCTCCTAAGGCCACCTGAACCCAAACTGCCAAGTGGGACTGCACCAAATAACCCTGGGCAGCTGATTCATTAGTGTTTGGGCTTTTTTCCCATTTGCAGTCTATGTAAAGGAACAGGGCTGAGGATTCAAGTCTGCCTCTAACATCAGCAGCCCCTACCTATGCTGAGATGTTCTTTACAACTTAATTATTCTCTTAAAATTCTTGATCAAATATAAAATTCTTATTCAAATATCAATTCTGAGGTATGTGCAAGACGAGTTGTAGAATTTGGGCTTTTCATGAAAGATGTTTCTGAAAGGTACTAGAATTTTGTAAACAGGATTTTTAAGTTGTCTGTTCAGGGGTTTAAGTGTGTACTGAGAGCAGCAAGGCTTAGTCTAGAAGTGTGACTTTTGTGAAGGTGACACTGTAATTGTAGAACCTTAGAACATGCTGAGTTGGAAGAGACCCATCCGGATCATCAAGTTTAACTCCTGGCCCAGCACAGGACACCCCAGGAATTCCACCCTGAGAGCATTATCCAGATGCTTCTTGAGCTCTGTCAGGTTTGGTGCCGTGGCCACTTCCCTGGGGAGCCTGTTCCAGTGCCCAGCCACCTCTGGGTGAAAAATCTTTTTCTAATATCCAACCTAAGCCTGCTATAACACAACCTCAGGCCATTCCCTTGGGTCTTGGCACTGGTCACCAGAGAGAAGAGACCTGCACCTGCCTCGCCTCTTCCCTTCAGGAGAGAAGTGCAGGCTGCAGTGAGGTCTCCCCTCAGTCTTCTCTTCTCCATGCTGGACAGACCAAGTGACCTCAGCTGCTCCTCACACAGCTTCCCCTCAAGGCCCTTCACCATCCTCATGGCCCTCCTTTGGGCACTCTCTAACAGCTTCGTGTCATTTTTATCACATTGTGGCACCCAAAACTGCCCCCAGCACTGGGGTGAGGCTGCCCCAGTGCAGAGCAGGACAGTCCCCTCCCTTTTCTGGCTGGTGATGCTGTGCCTGATGTCCCCAGGACAGGGTTGGCCCTCCTGGCTGCTGACTCAGATTTAATTTCCATTAATGAGTTGCTGGATTGGCAAGGTAGGTGATAGATTGGTTTCCAGTAAGTGCAAATGGCACCACATCTGTGATGAAATGCCACAGCACACAGTTGTTCATTTTGGAACAATTATTTATGGTACAGCTGAATTTGTAGTCCAGTTTCAGATGACTCTTCCTTACTTAGACTAAATCCCAATTATCCTCAGTCCATTTATATATCCCAAGATTAAGTCTTTTTTTACATATTTGCTTGTGACTATTGCCTAACTTCTTCAGGGCCATTTAGAAATAAAAGAATGCTTCTTAGTGTTGAAAACACTGAATGCCATTGTTACTGTGGAGTATTTTACTGTTCATTGTCATTCTTTAGGA